GACTGTTTAATAAAAAAAGCGCATTTTTCGCCGCTGTGGACTATCAAGTTCTGCTGAAAGGTGGGCGGCTTATGCGCGCGTCGCATCAGAATATAAAAAAGCCCTTTCTCGTGCAAAAACCGAGTTTTATCAGCGAACGCTCCCATCCCTCTTATCGACTGATCCCCGCAAGTTCTGGAGCGCTGTTAATATGAGCAGATCTAACGATGTAAAATTAAAAACACCGGATGGAACACTTGTTCCACGAGAGCAGTGCTGCGTGTTGCTCAACAATACGTTTTCTTTATCTTTTACTAAAACAATTCCTACTTCTTTTCCTGTTAAAGAAAGCCTACATCTTGAACCAATGGAACCCATTTTTATTGACTGTGCTGGAATTCTCAAGCTGATACAGAGGGCTAAAATTTCTTCATCTTCTGGAATAGATGGAATTAACTATAAGTTTCTGAAAAGTACCAATGTGAACTCCTCATTGATCCTTTCCTATATTTTTTCACAGTCTTTACAGTGTTCCTTACTGCCCGACGACTGGAAGGGTGGAAAGGTGATTCCAGTGTACAAGTCTGGTGAAGTTTTCTCCCCTTTTATCTATCGACCCATCTCTCTTACATCAATTCCATGCAAACTACTCGAACACATAATTTACACTAACTTGATGAGCTTTCTAGAATCTAATTCATTTTTTACAGTCTATCAACACGGTTTTCACAAAAATCATTCCTGTGAAACTCAATTAATCACCTTTACTAATGATCTCTGTTCTTTGTTGGATCGTGCATCAGTAGTCGATTGCATTTTCATTGATTTCGCGAAGGCATTTGACTGCGTCTTCCACCCACTACTACTTTATAAACTTAGCAAACTGAGCATTGACCCTAACATTTTAAGGTGGATTGAATGTTTTCTGCAGAATCGCTTTCAATATGTAGCCGTTAATGATAACCAATCTCCTCACTGTCCCGTTACATCTGGTGTCCCTCAGGGATCAGTATTGGGGCCTCTTCTTTTCCTAATTTATATTAATGATCTTCCTGATACCACAACCTCATCAATACGTCTTTTCGCTGACGATTGTGTTATATATAGAAATATACGCGAACCTTCTGATCCCTCACAACTTCAAACCGACCTTAACACAATTTCAGCCTGGTGCAACACCTGGCTAATGAAAGTAATCGTCGACAAGTGCAAATATATGAGGTTAACTCGAACAATCAGGCACATCCCTGTAAACACATATTTCCTGAATGGCTCCCCTCTATTATCGGTTACCACCTACAAATACCTGGGCGTTCAGATTTCAGATAACCTTTCATGGCACTCGCACATTGAATATATTAGCAATAATGCGAACCGCATGCTCGGCTTCCTTCGACGAAATTTCTCTCGAGCTCCCACTTCATTAAAACTGCAGCTTTACAAAACCCTTGTACGGCCGAAGATTGAATATGCCTCTTCTGTATGGGATCCACATTCCGCCAATCTTGTCTCCATACTTGAAGGTATCCAAAATCGGGCCGCTCGTTTCATTCTCTCTGATTATTCCCGGTCATCCAGTGTCACTAACATGAAACAAGTAGTACAACTACCTGATCTTGCAACCCGTCGTATGATATCCCGCCTATGTGTTTTCCATAAAATATTTTACACCAATCAGACCTTAAAACAATCCCTTTTTTCAGTTCCATCATACGTGTCATCCCGCATTGATCATCCGTTAAAAGTTGGTGTGCCAAACTCCCGAACAAACCTCTACCTGAACTTGTTTGTCCCAACGACCAACGTGCAGTGGAATCGCCTTCCAGCCTCCATCGTCTCCATCAGCGACGCTGCGCACTTCAGGTCCACTGTCAGCAATCACTTTTTGTAACCACCCCGCTGTTGTCTTTTCTCTTGATTGTTTAATATTGTACCCCTCCTCTCTGTAACGCCTTATGGTATTGAGAGCAAATAAATGAAAATGAAATGAAAAAAACTTATGCAAGTTTGCACACTTGCCCCTGCAAGTATCAGTTATCTGCACTTTTTGGCAAGTACAGTGAGGTGTGTTCGTGAGGGCAAGAATAATCCCTCATGCTGTTTTTTAAACACCATGACTCGTTTTCTTCGGCACATATGTTCAGGATATGTAACGATGGGCACCTTCAAGTTACAAAGCACGCAGTAACAAACCCGTATGCTAGGGCTGAAGTGAGTTGCATAGCTTTGACCCACCCTAGTCGCAAACTGTCTTCTGTCATCACCACTGTCATCACCAATAAACTGTCATCACCAATAACCAAGTGAGTTCTGCATATCCACTCAAATGCTAACCTTTGCTGAGCCACATGTGGATGTTGAATATTGTGTGACTTGCCCAATTAATGGCCTATTATTAATGGCAACAGGCAATGCTGAATCAAGAAAATTTCCAAGCTCCCACTTCACCACTATAACTACTTCCAGTTTCTAGATTATCTTTACTCGGCTGTCTGTCAATGACTGTCATGGATGAGGCCACCTTAATTCGTAGGGCAAGCAATATATATTGCAATAATCACCATAATTGTAGTGCCTTGGGTATGCCAGCAAAGAGGACTCCGGAGTTGAAGCCGCGCACACAGGACAAGGACGAAGAAGAAGAGTGCAGAACTGAGTCACTGATAGCAGTGGTTTACAGTTACCGCCTGATCCTGTTTGTCTGCCTTCAAAGTGCCTTCAAAGTCGTGGCTCAAAGTTCACACATTCAATTCACAGTCTGCCTGGCATGCCCTCATTACGCCAAGCAAACTACTTAAGTTCCCTATGCACCTTGTGCCATTTGCATGCTGTCACATAGAAAAGCTTAGCGACACTCTCTGAAGAATAGGCTTGTCAGCAAGCGCACTTGTCAAACTTGCTTTGCTGCATCTAAGTGTATAGCCTCAATAGCAATGGCTCAAGAATGCATAATATAATATTTAAAGTTGACTTTGTAGCCCATTTAAACTATCTTTTTTGGAATATAGTTACGTATTAAAATGTGCCTATTATTTAAAAAATTTTCAATTTACGATACGGTGAGGGATTTGGTTGTACGTGCTTGTTAGGAAAATAGCACGCAAAAGAGGAAACATGAAGAACAACAAGAAAATTCTGCTGACTTACACGATGACTCAAATTGTTTGTAAGGAAGAAATAGTTGTATATAACTGAGAAGACAAGTGGACAAGCAGATAGTCGCTTTTTTTTTCCTCACCTCCTTTAGCTCTCCTTTTGTACTGCTAGTAAAAATAAACATTATTGATTGATTGATATGTGGGGTTTAACGTCCCAAAACCACCATATGATTATGAGAGACACCCTAGTAGAGGGCTCCGGAAATTTTGACCACCTGGGGTTCTTTAACGCGCACCCACATCTGAGCACACGGGCCTACGACATTTCCGCCTCCGTCGGAAATGCAGCCGCCGCAGCCGGGATTCGAACCCGCGACCTATGGGTCAGCAGCCGAGTACCTTAGCCACTAGACCACGGCGGCCGGGCAAAAATAAACATTATTATTATGAAAGCCTGTACATCCCCGCACATAAGACGGAAAGCATGAAAAACAATGACATAGTTGTGATTACGTGCCATTATTAATTCAGCATGAGATAAGGCTGTTCACTGAGATTGTAGTGGCCTCATACTCATTGTATTCTTGAGCATCAGTGTAGCCCTACTAAGTTACTATTTTTCTCAGGAGCAGTCTATGGCCAGCATTACCAAGGGCCTACTGAGCACATGCTGTACAATGGCCACATTTGCTGCTTTTGAGCCAACAGTTTAATTACTGGCTGTTTATGACATTTTTGCTTTAAGCAATCTTGCATAGAATGGCAAATATACATGAACTACTGAAACAGCAAACATTATTTTCAGAGTACAGTTTTCACTCTTGCATAGCCACACTCAGACAACAAAGTGACACTCCATCTGACACACAGCTATTAGGCATACCTGAAGCACTAAATAGGAAAATCTGCTCTGTCAATACCACATGCATTTGCTCGTGCAGAGACAAATATACTGTGCAAATGTTAACACTAAAGTAAACATGATGCCAGGACAGCACTGTTAAGCAAGTAGCACCCAACGGATGGCTAAGGATGATACACGACAATGAAACCAACGTCGTTCAGTAGCAGCCTGAGGGCCAAGTCGTATGCTATTTCGTCCTCATTCAGCCCTGACTATACGCATCACATTCGGCGTGCTACACTTGACCAAGCGTGTAGCGCACAGACTCAGCGACGACAAGCACGTACTGAAACCACACAGGATTCACTGCTCGTATGATCGCTCAATCAAATGCACGTTTTCCTCGCTCTCGTGTTTACAAATGCCTGCGCACGGCAGCGAGCAGAAATCGGGCACTAGCGGCAGCCTCATCGTGAGTTGAGCACCACCACTCATTCACTGTGGTCAACGATACGTGTAAACTCATCGCGGCGTGTCAGAGAAGTGTTCCGTCGCGGCAGTTTGCACGCGATCAGAAGCATTCCGCAGCGGCTGGTAAACAGGGAGACACGACAAAGCCCGTTCGGCGAACGAAGACTGCTTTGATTCTCAGGGCGATGCAAAAGAAGGGCCCATCATATCTGGAGAAGAGGCCAACAGGAGGTCAACGCGATGTAGAGGCAGCGCGCGCTCGGAATCAATAGCTGCGGCTTTCATATTTTATTCCCGGATATCTGGCCGGGTCTTTCTAGTCGCACGCGAAGCATGCAATATGCATCACAACGCCGCTCTACTCTGGGCGAAACGAGAAATAAAAGCGGACAAGTGAGTCAAAACACATCGCCAGTCCGGCTCAACAGAAAGCTCACGCCACACAAATGCTCATCTTTTCGCATTGCTACTCGGTCAGCCGAGAGCAACAAAACGATGGCCACTGCAAAAAAAAAAAAAAAATGCAAAGCACTCTCCCTACCTATCGCTGTGCACGGTAAACACACTGACACAAACACACAACACAGGAAGAAGCAGCACGGGCTTACGTCTGGCGCCGACGATGAGGTAGCCGCATGCCAGTAGTAAAGAGGCGCAGCTTCGCCGCGAAAACTTCATGTTGCTCTCAACGGACACATGATGTCGTATTGAAAAACATTCACACAACAGCGTGACCACTACTGAACCACATTAGACGGCGTACGCTTCCACGGCACGGCCTGGCACGGCATCCCCCGCTCAATCGTTCACTCTTCCACTCACTGACTTCGCTAGCGCATGCCTTGCAATACGCGCGCGCTGCTAGTCGGGGACGCGCGGCAAAATCGTTGGTAGAGGTGTGCGCACAGAACACCTACCAGTCGAAGTGTCGGCGCGGAGCCACCACCAATTTTTGCTAAACCGTTGTCACCGACGCCAACTTATAGGCGCGCCGCCGCCAACGTGTGCTTTTGACGCGCCATTTAAACAGGATTTTTTTTTTTTTTTTCAGTTAGCCTACGTTTATTTTGCACCTTCTGTCAGCTGTCTGGCCTTTCTTAATTCTGCCCACTTCGCAAATGCATCGAAATTGGTTCACCTGCTATTTTGAGTTAAATACCTGGGCCATAAGAAACTTGTGGAGGGCTCCTTGTAATGTGGAAACGTAGCGTTGAATGCGATTTAAACATGAATTTTAAGACACTTTTGAGTTCACTGTATTTCAGCGAATCCCGGTCGGTGACAGCGCAACGGTGGTGTTTGGCGAGGACTGTAGACATATTCTTGCTGATGAAAATATGTAATACGTGATGCGGGCTTTGAACAATGATGAAAGGTCAGGAAAGCCGGTACTGGAGTATTCATAGTGCTGATTGTGAAAGCGAGTCGAAGAACACAGGCAGTTCAAAAGCGAAGGGTGGGGGCTAGGACTGGGGATGGGCAGGGTAGAAGCGCATCTCTTCAATGTGTATGGAAGATATTGTTATTACTGAGGAAGGGCTAGCTGTGAAGGGCTTATATATAAAAAAATTCAATTGAAAAACTGGTCCACATGCATAGATTTTAATTAACAAAGAAAAGTAAAATGGCAATTAATAGACGAAATGCTCTCTAAACAGAAATGATCCCACTTGTAGTCGGCAAGTTAAGCAAGATCAACAATATTGGACGAGATGGTGATCACCATAAATTAAGTTTGTGTGAACTGTGCATTAAGTAACGCACAGAAGACGAATGCGGACAAAACACTGAAGCGTAGGCTTGTATCTTCAAAGTCCTTTGTCCTGTACTCTGTGCGATGCTCCACGCCGCACAATCAATCAAGTAATCTGCCTTTCCTTCACCCGCTCTTATCTAGGACTTAATTCGACTAACTACAGATGCCGATTTGTCACAACCGTGTTTGAAAAAGGACACCGCATACGTGTAGCTCGCGGGGTTAGATGGTTCATAATATTTTCGGAAGAGTGAAATAAGGAGCTCAGCCTGACCGGACTTCGAACGAAGTGTTTATTGCGGAAAGTACACACACCCATATACCAGAAGCGCATTCGTGAAAAATAGGCTGAGACGTTCCACAGCTGCACACCTAACACTACAAATATAAATATAAACAGCAGACTTCCATGATCAACACCACATGCACCCGCTATCTAGCAACGCAAATTCTTTATCCAGCTGTAAGAACAACTGAAGGATCACTTATACATGCATTACACTTTACCCTGTGTTTTTTGTTTTTTTTAAGGCTTCAAAATCTTCAAGTTCAATCTATTCCTTCCTTTGCCAATGACACTGGTATATCGTGGACGCAGAGACTTGCGATGAGTTCAGTTTTGTGCCTATGTTCACACTGTTTATAGATGTCACTCGTCGACCCTCTAATCTCTGTAGACACGGCTGCATGACAAAGGAACTTCTTTCAAATCATTGATTGCCATTGGCGAAAGAAATTAGTAAGATTGAAAGCAAAAATCGTGAAGCCTTCGAAATAAACATGGAGCGAAGTGTCATGCGTGAGTGATCCCCCCGCTTTCCTCACAGACAAAGAGCTCATGGTTCTATAGATAGCCGGTACACTCGGCGTTGATATTTTAGTGTTCCATGAAAATCGGCTGCCTATACCACATTGAAACATTTGTCGCAGAAATGTATGGTTAATAGTACAACTGTGGCTTAGCCTTTTTAAGCATGTGCTTCTGGTTAATTTGTGTATGGGCTTTCTTTATTAAACATCTAGTTGTAAGTCCAGCACTTGCCTTCCTGGTGCCTACTCTGCATACGTACTTTTCGTTGGTTTCTTCTTACGTAGATCGGTAAAGATGATCCCTATTACCGTCACGAGGGCATAGAAACCACCCTTCCTCATTGTCCCATATTTTACAACAGAATCGAAAGTTGGGCTAGTTGGATATGCATGGTATAACTGTCAGTTCAAGCGCACAAATAAGCAGAAAGGACGATAGGACAAGCGCTTTCCCGCAACTTAACTGTTTATTAGAAAGGGAAGAATATATAAACAGGCAATCAAAAAACAACGCATGCGTGTGCAGGCAAAAAAGTACATACGTCGCATCGAGAACACAGGGTAAAAGAAGATTGCTTTTCTGGTTGATGTTCCGAGATAATCTAACTATTTATCGTGCAGCAAAACTGAAGGCTGGCTGACGCATTGTTCCCCTCTTTTTCTTATGTGAAAAGCTGCACGATAAAGAGTTTGCTTTTCTAGATTATGTTCCGAGATAATCTTTCTTCTTTTACCCTGTGTTCTCGATGCGACGTATGTACTTTTTTGCCTGCACACGCATGCGTTGTTTTTTGATTGCCTGTTTATATATTCTTCCCTTTCTAATAAACAGTTAAGTTGCGGGAAAGCGCTTGTCCTCTCTTCCTTTCTATTTATTCGTGCGCTTGAACTGACAGTTATACCTCCCATATTTTGCCATCGTGAACACGCACAGAATGTCTTCACCAACGCATGACGTGAACGAGAGATGTGTTCTGATTATAGGTCAGCAAACTCACTAATGATTCGATCAAAAAAATTGAAAGACTCAGATTAAGTCAGAGTCCGAGTGAGCCCGCCTGAGTTTTACCATGGTGAGTATGAGTTCTAGTGAGTTCGCTTCAGAAAAAATTTGGTTAGTCTGGGTCCTAGTGAGCTATATGCAAAAAAAAAAACTTATTTAATGAGGGATCAGTGTATTTTTATTTTGCTGACCTATGCTTACAAATATTGAGTCTTCTTTTATGCCGTGCCTTGTTATGGTGAGTTTGCCGGCTTGTAAAGCCACAGAATTAACTTATCAAATCGTAAATCTGTCTAATTCCCCACACCCTTGGCACTCATTCCAGTGAGGGTCCTTGATAAAAACCACTAGCTCATATCTTCGAATAAAAATTATAAGTTCATATTAAAGGCACGGGATGAAATGGCGCCATAAAACGCACCACTGAAATGAGATATCAACATTAAAATGCTAACATGACGAAGGAACTAACGTATACTGACTACTTCCAAGGCGCACAGCCATTTGTAAAATTGTTTGTAGTGTATTTGGTCACGGAGCTAAGGCTGCTCGCGGCGGCGTGATTTCGCAATTAAAAGTTAGAATTTTTAACACGTTATGAGTTTCTCCTAAAAAATCCGTAATTTTTGGTGATCTAATAGGGATTTTATGTATCGCACCAACTCCAACTTTAGTGCTAATAGGTAATGCGTTTATAAAGTACACCGTCCACGGACTATGGTAGAAGAATCAGTTTATACTCATGCATGCAACAAAACTCGTATGATCATTCCCCAGAGAGAGTAATGCATATTGGATTGTGATCCTAACGACAGGAAAAACTGAATAATTATCTGTAACTTCCTTATTGTGTCACTAGTCTAATTCACAATTGCTCGAAATAAATGAACATGCATGGCTTTAAGAGGGCATAGAAGTGAGTTGTGCCGAATGTTCTGGCACATGTGCCACTTCAGGCAATTTTATTACGTGACATTGTGATTCACATTGAGTTTGATTCACAATTATCTACCAAATCAACAAAGAATGAGCATTGAATTTACCTGCATAAATCACACGGCTTACAAGGCGACAAAGCAGCATGATTTGCGAGCATAGAGCGAGCCTTAGCTTTCTCCTGCATAAATTGCTTGTCCTCAGTTGCTGCTTCCGTTTTTGCGGGAATAAATGTGGCGATTGGGAAATTACGGAGCGCAAAACAAAATATTCACAAGAACGACAAAGACGGGACGGGTGCTGTGAATCGTAAATGCCCTGTCGACGCATTAATTGTTTTTCGCTAAAAAAGTTTCCAATAGCAATGTAACATCTAGACGAATTTCAAGTTTTCTTGAAAATGTGGCGACAACCCATGCTACCAGCTTTTGTCATCTCCACTCCTGCCCTGTGTTTCGTTGAAAGCTTTGCGAGCGCGTTTCAAGGAGGAAGGGGGGCAAGAACACACCGTTCATGCCGTGTACGAAGGCAGCTTGGGCTAGTTGGTATGGCATGACGATCGTTATAGCGCGAGAACAAAACGACGACACAGAGACTCGGAAGTCCTGCTTGTCTCTGTGTCGTCGTTTTGTTCTCGCGCTATAACTATCGCCATGCGCAAAGCTTCATTACTGGCAAAAACAATTTTCTTCAAGCTGTAATGCTGTAAAAGATGTATGTTACCCCGTCAGAAGTTGAGGAGCTTCTAAAAATTTTATCAGCACACTTGCATTTCAGAACTTCGTACCAACGCAACATAGAAGCACCCGTTTTTTTTAACTATTTTTCTTTTTTTCCTATTCAAACTATTTTGCATTCATAGTCAGGTTGACACGCGGAAGCAATTTCGGCGGTCCCTCATACGTCATTGTGTTCGCCCAGTTCACTCTGTGAAAAGCTTGACGACACGGGCATTTCTCAGGATCAAGTTACTCATACCTGAGCTTTTGCGCTCTTTGTATGTGCGCCCCAAGGAATGCAGACAGGCTACAAAACTCAGCAACGAGCTCTACGCCCCGGGTATAGGGCGCGCTATAGAGATATCTGTATTTTTGAAAGGTGAACATTTGGCAGAAGTCTGCATGGTTCGGATAACAGAATTACGAAAAAAAAAACTGAAAACTGCAGCAAACATTTATATGTTAGGAATCCCGATGTCTTGAAGCATGATCGGCTTTTTTCTTTAGGGCTGAGAAGACCCGAGATGTTTGCCGCAACTTGTCGCAAGCCCTGGAAGTAGAGGGAGGGCAGTGTTCCGCGTGTGGTTCAAAGGTGAGCCGCTGGTGAAGATTTCTTTCTGTTTAGAAGATCACCACGTCATCGGGACTGGTATGATGGCCAACCCGC